ACACACACACACACACACACACACACACACACACACACGTCAGATAATCTACAACACAGAAGATTAAATAAGACCCTAAGAAGTGTCAGTGCTAAAATTAGGAAAACTAAACTGTAAAAAAATCCTGTTAATTTACAGTAAAATAATTTACTGTTAATTTTACAGTTTTTTTTACCATAATCTACATTACAGTATGTTGTTGTAAAAATACCATGAACTAAATTAAAACTCAAGTCAATTCATTTCATTTGCAGAAACCGGCTGCCTTAAATTGGCTGACTGACATTTAAATTAATAAACTAATATTTATAACTATATGAGCATTTTATTCCCATGAACTTATTTCATTTGAGTTCACTAAAAAATAATATTACTTAAAGTAAAAATAACCAAATAAAACAAAATCATTAAAACTAGAAACATCAAGTAAAATCTCTTGCAGATAACTGCTAGCTAACAACAGCACATGTGCATTTAAAATGAGCTAAGATTCTCACTGTATCAGCAACTACACCGTTTCTGCCTTTAAATAAAGCAACAAACAGCATAGCATCAGTGTTTCTCAGCTCATCACTGATTGAATCACAGGCTCTACTCTTCAGCACAATGGTGACCCACAAAACTCAGACAACAGAAATGCTTTAAATCCCAACAAAACGTTAAACACCAACAGATCTCTTATTTTGTTTCTTGTGCAAAACACATTAAATACCACTTCAGTCCAACATTTACAATTACATTTTTTCATTAACTTTGACTAACACTTTAGTGAAATTAACTTGTTTTGTTTAATAAATTTGACTGTTAGGTTTTACAGTACATTGCTGTTTTTTCTTCTTCTTGATTTTACGGTAATCTACTTGCAACAGAGTTGACAGTAAATTACTGTTTTTCTACAGTCTGTTGCCGTAAATTACTTTACAGTTTATTATTGTAAAAATATGTTTCACGAGTCACGTGGGGGCAGCGACCAAGATGGCAGCATGTATGAGATCTTCGTGCCACTCAGGAGTTAATTTACTCTAATCGTTTATAATCCTATAAGTTTACGTGATCATATGCTCACCGCAGATAGTTAAGAAGTCAGTGCATTAAGAATTCTGAAAAAGAGCACAAAAAGTTATGGCTATGTCGAGATATTTTAAAGCTCCAAGCCGTCCTTCCACACGGAAAGTCCCGGCACACGAAATTGAGGACGATACTTCACAACACGCCCAGCAGCCCTAAAGATTCAAATGAAAAGCCTCGAGAAACTGTTCGTGGAAGTTTCTAAAATGAGCTCTACACTGTTTCAACTATTAAACAAACCAGGCAGAACTGAAAACAACGGTAAGGGCTATTCAGGAGAGAAGCAGAGGAGCGTATCGCTCATCTGGAAGATTATTCGGAGAGACTGGTGAATGACAGCAGGGCCAGGAAAAAACAAGTGGATGTGTTATGGAACCGTGTAAAAACTCTCGAAAACCAGAACAGACGAAATAACGTAAGGCTGGTGGGCCTTAAAGAGACTTACGGTGCTAATGGGACTTTGTCGACTTGCATACAGAGGATTCTGAAGGAGGGCCTCGAGTTAGACACAGGCGGAGAGTTCGAGATTGAAAGAGTGCATCGGCAGCTGGCTCCCATGCCGAATTCGGATCAGCCCCCGAGACCGGTTCTGATCCGCTTCTTAAGGCAGTCTGCGAGAGATAAGGTGATCAACGTGGTGAAAGGGAAGTGGGGAGTTGTCTGGGAAGACTCTTGCCTTTCGTTGTTTCCAGATATGTCGAAAGAACTCTCTGCTCTGAGGAAGACTTTCACCCCGGCGAAACGGAGACTGCGGGAACTCGACGTGAGATATTCACTCACCTTTCCAGCGACACTACGTTTCAAGTGGAACGGGAAGAATGAGAGCTTCACTAACGCGGAGGCAGCTGAAAGATTTATTAATGAACATTGTCACTGAGGAGTATGTGCAACAAATTAAGGTGGGCCTATGTATTTCATGAACATTTAAACTCAGTTATGTGGGAATGTAGATACTGAATGATAACTCCCAAGTGGCCAAGACAGCGTGCACAGGAGCTGCGATAAACCTACGGACCGGAGTTTTTTTTCTTTTTTGTTTCTGTTTTTTTTCCCTCTTTCCCCATTCTTCATGGTGAAGAAAAGTGGATGCCTGGAAAAGAGGGATGGGGAGTTGTCGGACCTTGTTCTGCTTATTTTTGTATACGTTATTGTTCACATGTTTCAAAGTTCAGAGAGTTTGAAAGGTTAAGTTTTGAAAAACTAAAATTAGGAAGGTTTTGGTTAACGGCATTTTTTCATATACTGGGGTCTCAGAGTTCTACGTTGTTAATAGAGGATACATTGTTAAAGCTGGGCACAGACTTGAAAAATAGCAATGAAAAAACACCTTTTTCTCTCACAGTCATAAAACGTATTCAAGGGTTAATTTTTTTCTTAGTATCAAGCCTTTTGACTGCTCAAGTAGTTAAAAGCAACTTTTTACAGTGATACTCTTATTGATCCATTAATGTGCCTGGCTTAATTTAATGCCTATGATTTCTATCAGCTATTACAACAGTGTTGGTTATTAATTATTCATGTTTCAGAGAGTTGTTCTCTTAGGTAGTTTTTGCAGCAGTGTATTTATAATGAATGTAATGAATGTTAACATGGAAGTTTATCCAGGCACTTATTTTACTAACTGTGCTCATTAAAATCATAGATTCTAAGATTTCCTAATGTAGGCTACCAAGGAAAAGTCAAAGGGATTTGAACATCGTGAAGTTAGGTCTGCAGTTTATACTACAAATAAACACATACAAATACTTTTAATTTGACAATTTGGAGAAGATCTGGTGTATTAAAGCTGTATTAGAGAAATGAATAAGCATGTTTTAAGCAAAATTAAAAAAGGCAAAAAGTGTAGACATCTAGAAAATTTGTTTTAAGCCATTTGATTAAAAAGTTACACGTGCAATTAAAAATAAGTGCAATTAGTTAGCTGTTGGAACCAGGAATGCCCTCTTTGGACAGTGTGTTAAATTTAACAATTACTGAGCATTTGTGATATCCAAGATCAAATCTGACAAACCTCAATATCTCCAGCTGACAGTTTGGGCTCTTCAGTCCATCAGAGAGCAGCTTCACTCCTGAATCCTGCAGGTCATTGTTACTCAGATCCAGCTCTCTCAGGACACAGTTTGAGGATTGAAGAGCTGATGACACAATTTCACAATCCTGAGCAGTCAGATTACAGCCAGCAAGACTGAAAGAGAGAAAAACACACAATAATTAAATTCTTAACCCCTTTCTGCAACTGGCATTTCAAAAACATCAACAGAGCAATCATTTTAGTTAAAATGTATTCTAAAACTAAGCAAATTATACTCAATATAAATTATTTGACACAACACCAGAAACTGTAATTCTATTTAGAAAAGAATCTTTACTGAAAATCATGGATTAAACACTCACAGAGCTTTTCTGCAGTTGATCACAGCTAAACTTTCTGAGCGTCTGAAAACATCAGTGTGATTCTGCTTTCATCCAGACCATCAAAGATGAACACAACTTTACACTCCTCATAAATCTGTGAGTCCAGATCTTGAAGTTCCGGATGAAAGTCCAGCAGAAGTCTGTGAAGACTGTACTGATGTTCTTGGATCAAGTTCAGCTCTCGAAATGGAAGCACAAACATGAAATCTACATCCTGATGGGCTTTTCCCTCGGCCCAGTCCAGAATGAACTTCTGCACAGAGACGGTTTTTCCGATTCCAGCGATGCCTTTAGTAAGAACAGTCTTGATCTGCTCTTTCTCCTCACATCCTGCTTCAGCTGAGGCTTTAAAGATGTCATTGCAGTCGATTGGAGTGTCTTGTGAGTGTTGTGTTCTGGCTGTTTTCTCCATCTGTAAAACCTCATGTTCTTCATTCACTCCTTCTCTCTCTCCCTCTATGATGTAGAGCTGTGTGTAGATCCTGTTCAGGAGGCTTTCATTCTCTTGAAATTTCATTCCCTCAAATAATCTCTCATACTTGTTCTTCATGCTGATTTTGTGCTGCTCTTTGACTCTCTGCAGGTCTTCAGTCTCCAGTGTGTGTGTCTGCAGGACTGCTTCAGTTTTGTCCTGCCTGATGTGGGTATGATAGTGGGATGTAGAGGATGGCACAGATATGCTCACCTCATGTATTTCTCCCTTGCTGAAACTAAAAAGAAACAAACAGCAAAAAAAGACAAAAACTGTTGGAGACTTTCAGAAATACATAGGTTACTAGGTATGATTTTATCACCCTTTTTTTTGTGAAGTGCACATGTTGCATATTTTGAAGTACATTTAGTGTTATTTCAGTGGCTTAGGTGATTATCATGTGAGGTGTAAAATAGCAAATGTCTGTTTATACTAACAATGGATCAGAGGTCACTGGTCCATCACTGAATTCAGGGGGACGTTTCCTTGAACTGTTACTTTCCACAGACACACCACTAGATTCTGGTGACTCTGATCGCTGTCTCTTCCTCCTGCTGATTCTGACAAAAGACAAACAAAACAGAATGTTAGAGCACTAGCTATACTGTGCAACTTGACTGCACCATAGATTTACAATTATTTAGCAGATTTTATTTTTTTATCCAAGGCCATTTACTTATAATAAATATGACAAGCAGTTCATCCAATGGAGACAGTAACATGAGAATTACTGCAATACAAAATTACATGCTAGAAAAGAGATGAAGGTAAGAAACACACACACACACACACTTCACCAGTGAGGAACAGTTACAGTGAAAGTTCGGGAAAGTGATTTTGTGCTTCTCTGTGATGGTATCACTACTCACCCACTGCAGGCTTCAGGAATAAACTGCAAATCACTTAGAATAAAAGCATCTGTCAGTGCTAAAATAGCTAGTGTCTTACCTGGGATCAGAGGTCACTGTTGCATCACTGCATTTAGGAGGTTCTATCGCCATGGATCGATCACTCTTCATAGACACACAGCTTGATCCAGGAGATGAATAACTCATTTTAGAGGCAGAGTCTTCCTTTTCTCTCTCATTATGGAGACTCATTTTAGTGTTCTCTTACTCCCATTTACCAAAAGAGTGTGGAAAGACTGATCTCAGACCTTTTATGTGGAAACACTGAGTTAAATTCTGTAGTACAATGATACAATACAGCTACAACAAAGTACAGTTTTAATCTGGATGACAAAGCAATCTATTTACCTTCCAATTATTATTATAACATACAAATATAGCTAAATGTGAAGTCAGAAAAGTTGGTTCTTTAAAAGTTATTTACTTATAATAATAGTTCTATTCAGAATAGGGGTGTGCAATGTCACGATTTTTGTTTGTGAATGATTAAAATGTCTCCACGATCTGCTTTTGAAGAAATATTGTAGTATCGTGCAACAGTGCATTCTATCAGCTGCATTTCTGGTTCCTCTGTACATCGCGACGTACATTCACATCACATGTTAATTCATAGGTAGGGTTACACTCATGTGACATTGCAGTTATTCACAATCATGAAAGTTTATCATCTGCATGCATTTTTAAAGCATTGTCGAATGCCGGTTAACATTTTATTTGCAGGCTGTTCTGACAAGCTTTTCTGAGCGCATACACCAGAAGTGCGCACACACTTAAAGCCTGTCAAACAGTGTGTGAATGCTAAATAAAGTTATCTTTCGTGTCTTATTGCGATTAAACGGTCAAATACACACAAGGTTTGTAAACACAGTCGGTTATGTCTAAACAGTTGACGTAAAAAGTTGAGAGAAAACCAGATGCATGTCTGTATATTAGATCCTTGCATGGGGTCTTAGAGTGACAGCAGTGTAATAAACTTGCTGCCACTTGTCATTAATGTTGATCAAACAACAAAATATAAAGAGAAAATCACTTACAGAAGTGTGTCTATGTAGTGTTTTATTTTTACATCTCTTTATTCAATTTCTTACTTGAAAACTATCATTTTAAATACACCAACTGTAAAAAGGCACAGTTTATTTCAATGGTATATTATATTGTATCTGTATTGTGCATCTTTGTTCTTATTTTTAATAACAAAGATAAAATAATGAAATAAAGATTTTTATCTTCGCTTACCCCTACTTTGGCCTAAATGGACTGTTATTCTTTTTTCTTTGATATTTTGTTACCTTGTAAGGCTACATTTTTAAAATAGGGAAAATAGTTTGGCTGTACTGCTCAGTCACTTGCAAAATAATAAAATCAACATGAAAAAATCGTGATTTGTGATTTTCCTGGAAAAAAAATTGTGATTATTCAGAACCATATCCTCCTGATAAACACATTTATGCTGAAATGGTTCTTTCGTTTTGGAATCGGGGTTCTTTATTTCTGCCTTTTTGTTTTTTTAAATCTGTAACTGTCAAAACATACTTTCAAATCTCATTTTCTTGAACTAAATCATTACTACACAGTCACAGACTATCAACAATCTCAATACAGGAAGACTTGATATTCTTCTTAATATCTCTATAGACTTGTACTATCTTGTAATAAACTGTAACTAGTTTCTTATCAATTTCCTTTTTCTTTTCAGTGTTTTTATAAGAAAACATATTTTATTATTATTATTATATGGACACCCTTCTCCCCTCTTTTTCAGCAAAAAGTAAACAACTGAAAAATTGAATTCATGATCCATGTTTTTAGAATTTCTAATTATTTGGTTTATGCATAAACATTCCGTCACAAAAAAAAACAAAAAAACCTTACAGCTATATCTTGTGATTTAAACTTTCCTTATAAAATTGTGAAAGACACTATGCATTAATAATAGTTTATTCACCCATCATAAACATGATTGATTTTACATAAATAGAAACAAACATACTTTTAACTCAATCGGCCTGTATCACAGTCTGCTTGTCATCACATCTGGCTCCAATTAGTAGCGTAAAATAATTTTGATCTAATTATTTCACGTAAGTGCATGAAAAAAAAGTTTCCCCCAAACCTTTAAATCAATCCCCTAAAAACAGACCTCAGTCCTAATTAATATTTTAATCTTTGTCTAATTCTAATGCTCTTTAATGTGATATTTTGTTTGTATTGTATCCTTGCAGTTCTGTAATAAAATAAGGTGCTCAAACTCTGAAGTATTCCACACACATATACAGACACTGTCACGTGACAAAACCATCATCTGCAGAACGACACTGCCACTCAATCGCATCAGAGTGCACACAGTAATGGATTGTGAAGACATCATAGAGGATTGGAACTTCATTACATTGATTTCATGTTTCTATTGTTTAGTATTTATTCATTTTAAATAATTAGTTAATGCTTATCATTTATCCAGCTTGCAGTCTTTTGTCATTATGTAAAACCCTATTATAGGCTATATGACAGAAACAGGTAGAGGGATTTAAAATATATATTTATATTTTATTAATAAAATGAACATTAAATGCTCTTTATAACACAATTAATGTTTCATACAGAAATGTGGGTCTGTATGAAATAATGTTACAAGGTGTAGAACCCTAATCTTGTGCTCAATACAGCACAACTGCAGTTTAGTTATTGCTTTTAAAACATTGTGACGTGTTTTTCAAGTGTTGTGTTATACTCGGGTCTACCATTGCCTTACTATTCATTCAACTGTTAATGTTGGCTATACAGCAGTGTGTGAATGCAGGAAACAGACAGGTTGAAATAAATGTAACAGCCCTATATTTGTGATCATTTGCATGTATTTTTGAAACTGAATTTACATTAGTCTTTAGTACTTTGTGAAGTTTAACACTATAGCTCAGAGGTCCCCTACTATCATGTGACACTCTGTTATTTATTGCGCGTTAATGATTGTTCTTATTATTATGCATTTTTGTTTGTTGTGTGCAGTGTTAAAAATAAATAAATGAAAATGTTGTTACAAAAAAAATAATTAAAACAAATTTTTTTATTCATTAAAATTCATAGATAGGAAGTCGTTTGTTGCCATGACTTTTTGATCATATTATTACCTGTAACATGTCTGTGCCGGGCCCAAATCAAGAATTAACGACCGTTTCTACAGCAATTGCAAAGATACAGCAGAGAAAGATCGAGAGCGTCTATTTACCTCAGCAGCGACCAATCTCGCATTCTCGCATCTGCAGCGCTTATTTTCATCTTTAACGTTAGACCTACTCTTGGAACAAAATTAATGCTTAAGGTTGATTCAGTATTACTCTTAATACAATTTTTTTTTTAAATCCCACACACAACATCAGCAATACTACAATGACAAAGTAGCTTATATTAAACATAAAACTTTTATTAACAGAACGAATAAGACATACCCGCGTTGTAACAAATAAATAAAAGGTTTTTGGATTTTCCCCTTACTTCAAACGAATGCTTAGTTTGTGGCTCATTATTATTATTAATAATAATAATAAAGGCTATACAATAAAACAGTACAATGACCAATTGACTAAACTTTGAACTTTTATTAACAATATGAATAAGGAAAATATGTTTTACCCGCATTGTAACACAAATAAATAAAC